CGAGCTGGCCAGGTTGTATAATAAACCCCAATCAACCATCGCTACTATTGGTGGTACAGCTGCTGCTGCTGCTGCACTGTCAGCTGCTGCTGCTGCTGCACTGTCAGCTGCTGCTGCTGCTGCACTGTCAGCTGCTGCTGCTGCTGCACTGTCAGCTGCTGCTGCTGCTGTAGCACCGTTGTTGGTGTGGCTTATTGAGAATACCAAGAAACAATTAACCCCAGAGGATTTGCCACCCAGGATAACCCAAAAAAGTCAGTGTCATCGAAGACTGTCTAACTTATTTCCATTGGGGTCCTTAATCTTATCTCCCAGGATGCAACCCACACAAGTCGACTAACACCCAGGTGAACAGGGAAAAATGCCTGGAACTAGTGCTCATATTGGTGAATTTAAAGCCAGCAAAGGTTGGTTTGAGAGATTTAAGAATCGTAGTGGCATACACAGTGTGATAAGGCCTGTTCTGGAAGAAAATGCCAAACAGGACCTACAGTACTCAGGAGGAAAAGGCACTCCCAGGACACAGTGTCTCATCAGTCATTGCTGCATCTTCAATAAAGGTAAGTGTCATTTATTCTTCATTTAGTAGACTAGTACATGCACAATATATACTGTGCATGTACTACTCTACTATTGTGCATGTATCCTTCTCTTTGTGTGTGGGAAAATGTATATTTCATGTGGTAAAATTTTTTTTTTCATACTTTTGGGTGTCTTGCACGGATTAATTTTATTTCCATTATTTCTTATGGGGAAAATTCATTCACATAACGATTATTTCGCATAACAATTACCCCTCTTGCACGGATTAAAATCGTTAACCGGGGGTCCACTGTACATGATAACCATCTGGTGGTTCACAATTACACTCACTCACCCACTGACTATAAACACAGAAATACTAATCTTAATCTTAAAATAATGAATCCTAACTAGTCATAAGTTTGCCTATGATACTCCAATATAGACACTTTGTATTGTGCTAAAACAAAAGCATTCACATTGCTAAACTCACAAATTATAATGTAGTCACCTAGCCTTAATACCATAATCTATAAGGATTTAATGTTAAGAATTAATCTAAGTCTGCCCAAAATGCCTAGCCATGCTAGGTGTCCTAGTGGCCCCCTCTGTAATTAGTATTTCATAACATGTAAACCACACAATATCCAAATCCTGTAAACCCCACATTGTAACCCTTATAGAGAATAAACTTGATTTGATTTGATTTGATGTCCTGCTACACCGATATTATTCCAGCAGGACGAGGTATCCGTTGGTTTATCCCGGTTTATAAATTGTGACTCCATAAACTCCACTATCCTCGGGACAGGAACCATGAGGTTAACAGATGTTCACTCGGAGAATGGCGACTCATTTCACTTCACACATTCTCTTAACTTAGTGCTATTATCACTGATTACTTCACAGCCCACCATACAGTTTAACATCTCATAACTATTATGCACATTAGAGATCACTCCATTAAGATATGAGACCGATGAGTGATGATTAAATCACGGGTAATTTCCCCTGAACACACTCCATGGCATCGCGCCAGATCCCGCTGGTTTCCTACCATTATCCACTAATTTTACCACTTTATTACGGTGGTCCCGTAAATCACGTTCCCTCACTCTTCACCAGGAACAGTTACGATACTTCCAATCATAAAGTGAGGCCCATATTAATCCTTAGGCCGCCGTGGACGCCAATTTCCTGGTCCCATCTTTTCCCAGCCTCTTAACTCCATTCAAAACACTCCCGCCTCCCCTGCTCGTTTCCTCTGCGCCTCAGCACAGGCGCAGAGGTTCTCTGTTGGTTCTCTTCTTTAAAATACACTTTAGAACAACAGTAATGCATTAACCATATACGTATATTCACATTGTAAAAAATATACAGTATAATTTTGGGAAATTATTTTCTGATCCACCAGGAGGCCTGGTCACAGACCGGGCCGTGGGGGCGTTGACCCCTGGAACTCTCTCCAGGTAAACTCCAGGTGTGATTTACAAGCCCCCTAACCTTGATAGGGAGTGCAGTTAACTTCTCTGGGACGAAATTCGTAAGGCATCTACATACGAAAATGTTGTGCTAATGGGAGATTTAGTGATGTAGACTTGTTGCAGTGCTCCTTCCTTCTTGAGCGAGTGACATGGACCTGCCTAGCATAGGCCAATAGGCCTGCTGCAGTGCTCTTTCCTTCTTGAGTGGGTGTGACTTGGACCTGCCTAACATGGGCCAGTAGACCTGCTGCTGTGTTCTTTCTTATGTTCATACACACTGAGAAACATACAGTATGTATCATGTGCCCCGTGTTTGTTTACATCACTCTAATTACCGACTTCTTGCATGAACTGTGTGGAAGAGAGACACGTATGTAGTCCTTAAAGTATTGTATTACATGACTCATGAAATCGTAATGACACAATTGTAAACAAATCATACCATGGGTTAGCGCGTTGGTCTGGAGTTTTATGACTGATCGCAGGTTCTATCTCCAACCATGGCATTGTTTATTGTATTACATGTTCCAACCCAAGGGGGGTGAATCGTCTAATAAATGTCCTTAGTGTTCCATGTGTGTTTATTCCATAGTTTATCTGTATACCTGTTTAGTTTTGTCAGGGAAAACAAACCCTTCCACCTTGTAATTGGAAGGGAATATACTTGTGATGAGTTAGAAAGGTTTTTCTACTCCCAGAGCCCGACCTTGGGTCAGGCTGGTCTGGTGCTTGGCTGGTCAATGAGGCTGTTGCTGTTTGTGGCTTGCTGTCATTCGTATGCATGTCCAAGTGATTCCCCACACCATGTAGGTGGAAGTGTATTAATACTCACACCTTGTAGGTGGAAGAGTGTATTAATACACCATGTATGTAGAAGTGTGTGTTAATACTCACACCATGTAGGTGAAAGAGTGGAAATAAATGGTACAAAATACCGACACAATGGAAATATAAACACTTAAGCAGTATAATGTGATCCTTTATTGACAACGTTTTGCCCACGCAGTGGGCTTTATCAAGTCACAAACAGATCTACCTGGGTGAAACATATGTGGCTATATATAGGATGGGAATACTGGGTCAGGTGGAGAAAGGTGCACATGACAGTCTTCGGAGTAGAGTGAAGAAGTCTAAAAACTTGGTTAGCTTTTAAGAGATTTGATAAGTACATGAGTGGATCTTCTGCAGTGTTCCTCGATTCTTATGTTCTTATGTGGGATAGCGATGAAGAAGTTTCTTGGCGAGGGGTTCAGCTATGTTATAGAAGCAGTTGTTCTGGTTGAAATTGTTGGATATACAGATAAGTGATCATTCCAGAATTCTTCGGTATTGAGTGTTGTCTTCTCTGGCGATAAGTCTTGCGTTTCTGTAGTTGATTAAATGGTTGTGTGAATTTCGGTGTTGAACACAGGCATTCCTTGGATTGTCAGATCTGCCTGCGTACTGGTGTTCTGAAATACGTCTTTGGAGGTCTCTGGATGTTTCGCCGACGTATAATTTGCTGCAGTCATTACAAGGGATTGTGTATGCCCCTGCAGAGGATTGAAGCTTGTCTTGTCTATCACTGGTAATGTCCATCAAGGACATTACCAGTACGCTAAGAGACAACACGATAAGTGTCCGGGGCCCAAGACTGTTCAATTGCTTCCCAGCATACATAAGGGGGGATTACCAGTAGACCCCTGGCTGTCTTCAAGAAGGCACTGGATAGGTACCTAAAGTCAGTACCTGACCAACCTGGCTGTGGTTCGTATGTCAGCTTGTGTGCGGTCAGCAGTAACAGCCTGGTTGATCAGACTCTGATCCACCATGAGGCCTGGTCTCAGACCAGGCCATGGGAGCGTTGACCCCCGAAACCCTCTCCAGGTAAACTCCAGGTATGTGGAAGTGTGTGTTAATACTCACACCATGTATGTGGAAGTGTGTTAATACTCACACCTTGTAGGTGGAAGAGTGTGTTAATGCTCACACCATGTAGGTGGAATAATGTGTTAATACACCTTGTAGGTGGAAGAGTGTTAATACTCATACCTTGTAGGTGGAATAGTGTGTTAATACACCTTGTAGGTGGAAGAGTTTACTCATACCTTGTAGGTGGAATAGTGTGTTAATACACCTTGTAGGTGGAAGAGTGTTAATACTCACACCATGTAGGTGGAATAGTGTGTTAATACACCTTGTAGGTGGAAGTGTGTTTATACTCACACCATGTAGGTGGAAGAGTGTGATAATACTCACACCTTGTAGGTGAAAGAGTGTTAATACGCACACCCAGGAATAAAACAAAACACTTTACTGCAGTATAAAGACTATTAAAGTTTTTATTTACTGACTTGTAAACCAAGCAACATCTTATATTAAAGTTTACATAACAATACTGTAAATAACAATGACATTAAGATCAAGATTAATATCAGCACAGCACCTAGTGAGGAGGGAGGGAAGGTAGTTACGAATGGACAGACAAAATGAAGAAAAGGATATGGAATGAGGTGGAAGACAAGGAAAACTTAGGCAAAGTATTCATAATGATGTTTTTTAACCCTTGCAGATATAGTTCATTACCTTCATAACTTGTTCAGCTATCAAAACTTTGGAGTCCAGTCCCTGGACCCATTATGTACCTCTGTAATCTTTTGACTACCGCCCACAAGATGGGTATGGAGTGCATAATAAAGATATTAAACTAACTAAACATCACCTCCACACCTGGAAGTGTCCAGCTGTGTCCCAACATGAGAATGTGATGAGCACTTGCTAGTGGATCAAGGAACCAACATGCAGAAAATAAAAATAAACAGTACCATATTTTTTGGGCCCACCACTCTGCCGAAAGACATGTGACTACAACAATAATCTGATATATCATTGTGTTTTTATGTATTCTTGTGTTATGTATTATTATTTGCTGATTTCTCTATATTATTATAATTTCTCAGCATCCCATATCTTTAGGGATATTTCACAATAATAATAATGGGTGTCTCTTAACAGGTGATGAGTTGGGTGCTTTCACGAAGAGGTTACCAGCTAGTGCACTCCTCGGCTAAGGTTGAGGATCTACTTCAGTACCTCCAACAGGAAGGCCTTCAGCGCCCTCTACTCGTTCTCACACTATGGCACCTTCAGTAGCTATGTTAGAAAGGACTGACCTAAATGAAGCAGATCGAGAAATTTGCAAAAAAAAGAAAAAAAAAGGAAGAAATTGACTTGGGATGTAGGAGAACTTGCATAATTACAAAACTCTGCTTCTGAAGTTAAACTTTTATCTATCCTCTCAGCATCAGTTGTTGTCAGTGTGTAGTCTTAAGCTCTTGCTCTCCCTAGTTTATGAAGAACACGCTAAATTCATATCAGACATGGCACGGTATGCTAATACAATGGCAAACTATACCGACAATATGTAAATAAGGCACACCATGAAGGTTATGACATTATTGTCAAGTTGTTTCCACCACCAGAGATTTTATCAATTCATGAACTGTTAAAGTCCCTGGTGGATGAAACGTCTTCGCAATAAAATGCCATAACCAGTATTGTGCGTTATTTAAAGTCAAGTCACAAACTAAGACTGAATTCAGATACCATCCTTTCCATACCACGGGCGGGGTTAGAACCCGCGATCAGAGAGTCTCAAAACTCCAGACAATGCTTGTGGTTCATTCTCTTGTGCACCCTTCATGAGTGGTGTCGTGTTGAGGAAGGTTTCACGGTCCATGAAACTGGAACTACCCCTCCTATTCCTTGGATCAAACCTGATTACCTCCAGTTTTCAAGGAGCTGTATTACTTTGGTGATAAGATGAAAGAACATAAAGTTTAATGGTGCATAACTGATCCTGAACCACTGAGGTGTCTGCACTCATAAGGAGGTCACTGTCACCATTGAGGAATCTGAGAAATCCCTGACTGTCAGGTGGTCACTGATCAGTTATGAATACTGAAAGATATGTAGATCAATATGAATACTGAGCGCAGTCATCTTACAAAACTCCTATGTACAGTGCAATTTTTCGTAAATGCAACTGAAAAAAAATGCATCAAAAATTGAATAGTACATACTGTGAAGGCCTTCTCATCTGCTATTTAATTTTGTATGTACTCTTTCAGTTTCATATTCATATAGTTTATTTGGACATGATACATAGTTGTACAAGGAATTATAGTACTAGTTGGGTGTACATTTATGAAAGAAATGTATTATATGGAGGAGCTTTATAAGAGAACTGATTGTATTTTAACCATATGTATTGGCAACAACATGTTTAATGTAGAGGAAGTCACCTTTTGTATTATGCTGATAGGATGATTACAGGTACGAAACTCAGCTGGGTCAGCAATGCTGACACTGGCTACCTTAAGAACTAGAGCTGGGTCTGGAGAGCAGCTGCCACTCAATATCCATACTTTTATCAAAATTACACTCAGAGGAAGTGGAAGTAATGGTAGAAACATAATCCCACCAACAAGTCCATTTTGCTTTACAGATTACTCACTGAGCAACTGCCCACTCTCAATTAAAATAAAAATTGAGGAGCATCTCGGTGGTCCTATTGTAACCATAATGGCCCCATGCAGCACACTTCAAATGCACTGCATGAGCACAAGCAAGTGTCCACCAAGGCATGCATTTAGGAGAATGTCTACCTGAGGTTTGGGAGACTGTATTTGAAGTTACGGTTAAAACAGACGTCATAAATATTTGCAACAGCTCATCTGAGGACAGAGGAAAAGACCCCTCACCAAAAAATATTTGACAAGGGAAAAGGGACCAATTTCCTCATTCAAACTGCCAACATGGGTTTTGAGGAGGTCGAGAATATGAATGGGAAATAAAAATAATAAGAAAATGATCACTGTCATGTAAATCTGGTACCACAGACCAAGTAAAGTGCAGGTGAAAAGGAGCAAATAGACAGACATATGCAAGAGAGAACTGGAGTGTGAGGGGTCAAAATGAGTAGGAATACTTGTATTTAAAATGTGGAGGGGAAGAGAAGTGAGAAAAGCTTCAAAACTGACTGCCATGAGTCATAGTGAGACCCTCCCCAGAGAAAATGATGAACATTAAAATCACCTAAAGATGTGTTGGAGGTAGGGAAGAAACAAGAGAAACAACATAAGGAATAGATAATGGCTGTATACCACTAGTTCAAGCAGATACAGGCTGAAGTGTAATGCAGCAAAGTATTACAAAAATCTGAGAATGTGGTATACTGATGCACACAAGTGCACTTTCATTAAATGTATCATCAGGAAAACGATCTGGTGATCACAATAAGACATAGCCCAAGATGGGATTGATAACAGGAGAGTACAATTTTGGTTCTTGTAAACACATACAAGGGAAAACTGGAAGAGCAACACCTGAGGTTCACCCTGAGCTAACTGACCCAGAGGCCTAACCCTCAAGTGCTGCCAAAGTTATAGGTATATAGCAAAAGACTTTGAACATACAAGGTTATTTAACTTACATTCCTAGTCTGCCTTGTCTCTGCAACTGTAATCTAGATTAGGTCTTAGGGCTAATTATCCTTACAATCAAGGTTCAGGGGTGGAAGCCTGACAACATCGCATCCATCTCCAGTATCTTAATCCACATTTCCCGCACTTCTGACATAAACAAACAAACTTTACTTCTTTCTGTAGTATACAAAATATAGTTGACATGTAATAAAATATTGTTAAGCACAAAAGAAAGCAACTAACATGCTGTTCATTTCACGGAAAACTCTCTAAGATTATCCACAGTGTATGACCTTCAGTGATTCTTCTCTGACTTCATTTTACAGAAGGCTTCTTAACTCATGAAATACAGATATGGTTTATTTGTCTCCAGAATGAACTCTCATGTGATTTATTAGACTTGATTTATGTGAAAAAGTCTTTAGACACTCTAAACATTGGTATGGTTTCTCTCCTGTATGAATTCTCAAGTGAACAATTAGATTTGGTTTTGATTTAAAGGCCTTTGGACATTCTGAACACTGATATGGTTTCTCTCCTGTATGAACTCTCAGGTGATATATTAGACACACCTTTTTTGAAAAAGCCTTTAGACATTCTGTACATTGGTATGGTTTCTCTCTTGTATGAATTCTCAGATGATCATTTAAATTTGATTTTGTTGTAAAGGCCTTTAGGCACACTGTACACTGATAAGGTTTCTGTCCTGTATGAATTCTCAGGTGCTTATTTAAGTCAGATTTGTGTGAAAAACCCTTTAGACACTCTGAACAGTGATAAGGTTTCTCTCCCGTATGAATTTTTAGGTGTTTATTTAAATCTGACTTTTGGGAAAAAGCCATTAGACACTCTGAACACTGGTATGGTTTGTCTCCTGTATGAATTCTCAGATGACTATTTAAACCTGATTGTCGTGAAAAAGTTTTTAAACACTCTCTGCATTGATAGGGTTTCTCTCCTGTATGAATTCTTAGGTGCCTATTTAATTCAGATTTATATGAAAAAAACTTTAGACACACTGAACACCGATATGGTTTATCTCTATGACCTCTCATGATTATTTCATATATTTTTTGATAAAGATGAAAGAAAATCTTTTGTTCAAATATGTAAAACTAAACATGAGAAAAAAGACAATATTAGTAAAAGAATTAAGGCTGAAAATAAAATCATCAAATTATGAGAATAAATATGTGAAATATGCGAGGACAGATTGAGAGCCTTGAACCTTCACTCTCTTGAGAGACGTAGAATGAGGGGAGATAAACAAAGACATTATAAAGTACTGAGGATATCAAATCGTGAAAGAACTCCAAATAACAGATTTAAATTAGGTAAGAACATAAGAAAATACTGGTCTTCAAACTGAGTTGTTGTTGAGTGGAACTCTGCCAAGTAGGGTAGCTTTAAAAATAGGGTAGCTTTAAAAATAGATTAGACAAATATACAAGTGGGAGTGGTTGGATCTGACGAGAATCTGAAGCGATGAAGCTAACTTCTTGAGAAGCTTTGGATATAGACTGAACAAATACGTTGGGGAGAATGACTGGATTTGAAAAGGACCTACCTAGTATGGGCTAGTAGGCCTACTGTAGTGTTTCTCCATTCTCATATAAAAATTTTAGTGTGTTTATAAAAGAGGGCACTTTGGATGTTAGAGATTTATATCACAAACTGGCATCTGAACTTAAATACTTTAAGAAAAGATACACACTGCAGCAGAAACTTTAATAAGTTTTTGTTCAATGCAGAACTTAGAGGTCAATGATGCACATGAATGGGATGTTGACAAGTTAAGTTTACCAGACAAGATAGTATCTTGGGTCTTGATAAGTGCACACAAACTAAGATATCCTATCTGGAAAAGCCTTGCAATTCTACCAAGAGAGTAAATTGGTTAACAAAGGAAAATACATGTAGTATACATTGTGTTGATAATTAAAATAAAAAGGACATGGAGGATCCCCCAAACTACAGGTGAGTTTTGCTGATAAATATTTCTGTGAAATTAATGGAAAGAGCCATTAACAAAAAGTGGATAATACATAAATGGTGTTACAGGGAAAATGTCCTCATAATGTTACTAATGAGATGATGCAAGAAATAGTATTTTATCAGTTAATAGAGAAAATTCAAAATTAAATGAACATTTTCAGGGATGATGCAAAATTCCTATGGAAGATAAGCCATAAAGAATGAATGTTTATCTCAAGATGAAGACCTGGAATATTTAGAAAGTGGAGTGGGAGTACGATGATATTAATGTCATGTAACATAAAAATAATTATTGTGTAAAAATATAATGAAGGCAGATTAAGAGAGACATTATTGAGTCAAAACTCACCAGATCACATAAAATGAAATAAGAAGAAAAGCATACCTGACACTTATCAACCTTATTATCAGATTATCAAATGTTGGTAAAGTATTTCAGCATATTAAACCACAATGGTAATAAGCAGCAGTGGTATGCTGTCTGCAACCAACAAAATGTTAACAAACTAGAAAAAGTTTAAAAGGTAAGCTGCAAATGGCAGCCAGAGCAACAAACTATACATGAACTGAAGAAGAAACATGTCAATTACATACACCAAAATACAAGATAAAAAAGAATTTATTAGAAAGATTTCCACACACTTTCAACAGATAGATGCGCAAAAATATTTCAGGAGATGAAGTAGAGGCACATGATGTTGAGGACGTACATGTGGCAGGAAGCATCAAGATATTACTAGGTACTGACACTCAGCATGGAATAATTTTGACAATATATATCTGCACTACTTCTGCCATTTATATCAGCTTTCATGTCACTGGATGCTGATAT